TACCACCCTGAGCATAACATGATCTCTCACAGGTAACTTTCACTTTAGGCTAATTAGAAATGGATCCAGAACAATGCTGTGCCAATTAAAGTAGGACACTAGCAATTCACACAAACTTTCATCATTCCACATTCAATTACTGACAGCAATGTTTCAAGTTCAATACTACAAGTTTCAGAGAAAGGGATTGTTTGCTTGGTCATAAACCTACTCCTTATCAGAGTACACAAATCTTACAGGCAAATTAGTGTCCAATAAAATTGCATTTTCATCTATTCATACATCATTAATTAATTGCTGTAAGGAATGTGGAGGTCTGTGTAACAATGTGATCTACCTTCCTCCAATACAATCAACGTATTACAATCATATAAACATTCCAACGAAAGTTCAAATTCCTTACCAACTTTTATGGAAATGCAAAATTATTTATCAACATGGTTTTACCTATGTCACAACTACCTGAAGATCTGTTTAAGAGACTGGACTATGGTGTGAAAAAATGTATACTGCTTCTTGAAAGTGATCTACATAGCTTTGTAGTGGAAGCATGTGTGTCATTTTACTTACACAAGTAGTTCTTTATGCAAGAAAACACAAACTTTTGGTTTGAAAACCTGAATGGAGACCCCTTACAAAACTTAAAATACAGATGGAGAACCTTAAAAACTATGGTGTGCGTGCAGGCTGGATTCAATTGGCTTAGGACTGCATCCAGTACATCCTCTTGTTAACACAGCAATGAATTTTTAGCTTCCATGAAAGGCAGCGCATTTTCTGACCAACCAAAAGACCATAAGCTTCTCAAGGACCCTGCGCTAAGGAGTTAACTGACCTTAATAGAGATTTTGCCAAAAACACACACACACAAAGACATGAATCTTGAATTTAAACATAATTTCTTGAATACTGTGCATAGCCCAACAGTAACATTTTCATAACAGACTTATCACAATATTCATCAACCACATAAAGTTCTATGCATCATGATCAGTACAAACAAAAACACCATTAACATAAGACCAAATTTTATGGTATTAGGTCTCTGAGAAGTTTGCAATTTATGTCACGGTCATTTTCTTACAGTAAAATCAAATACTGGTAACCATGGAAAGCTATTTACCTTGCCATTCAATAGCAAGAATTACTGAAACACAGCAGCCATGCATATAAAACTTGGAATGAAAATAAAACTATCAACAAAATTTCTACAAGATATTTCTATGGTAAACAGCAGAAATATGGTGATTATACAAAATCTGATGTTCCCAAATTTCAGGTAGTAGAAATCTGTAACAATCTAACTACTTACAAACTCAATGAAGCCAAGTCCTACTTGATTGGAAAACTAACAGTTATTCAGCTGCTCAAGGAATCCTCTGCCTTTTAGGGAACCCTTGGTTCACTACAGCCCTTCAATGGTTCCTATCCTGAGCCAGACAAATCAAGTCCATACCCACACCTCATTTAATTAAAATCTGTAGCTCAGTCAGAATAGTGACTGGGCTACAGAATCGATGACCAAGGAGTCAGGGCTCAATTCCTGGCAGGGAGAAGAGATTTTCTCTTCTCAATGATGTCCAGACTGACTCTGGGGCCCGTCCAGCCTCCCTTACAATGGGAATGGGAGAGCTGTCTTCCTGGGTTAAAGTAGCAGACGTGTGAAGCTGACCACTCACATCCATCTAGTTATATGTTTATGGTGGAGCTATACTTCCACTCTCCCTTACATCCTCATGGAGTGGTATTTAATTATGTCCCAGGATAACTTTACTTTACCTTTACTTTTAATTATCTACAGAGGCAATGGAATCTACATTACTGTAAATTATGCACAGATAATAGATCACTTGGCTGCACAAATAAACCAGTAAAGGATATGGTAAGATATAAGAAAATTAACTTTACAAAGTCGATAACTTTCAGTCCAGTCCAGGTTTACAACATGTACGGACCAGAATGAGACAAATCTAAATTAACTTTTTAAATTAATTGTGAAAGCAAAAAGTCTACATCATGTCAGAGTTCTTAAGGAAAATTAACTGTCATTCCTCATATAAATGCTTACAAAATAAGAACTAAGAACAAGTTAGTGAATGTTGACAGAAGTTAAGCCTGCATATCATATCAAGTACTTGCAAATTAAGTGTCAGTATTAATGTGTGTCAATCTGAGGCCAGATGTGTGTTCTCTTGCCTTTTTTGAACAAACTAGCCTTCAGACAATATGAAGAAAAGAGACGATCACAACCATGTGAACTCCCCACAAACTATTACATGTTGGACAGTTTACAGCAAAATGATTTCAGTCTATAAACAAGATGATAAAACAAGCACACTACTTTCATTTTGCTTCTCCTTGGGAAACTTAGCTGGGCACTACATGTATGCTGCATATTGCGCTGGGTAAACTTTACTGAATGAAAGAAAACAAGGGGAGCACACCATTTGCCATTCTTGTGAGATGGCATGAATCAATCAGCCTTTAAAACTGCTATTTCTGTATTAAAAAATTTGAAGTCTTTTCAGGCACAGTAAACATAAATCACAATATCAAAACATTCCTTCTACAATGAAGCCTGTACCATATGCATATCTTTCTACTCCTCTATCCACAAACTGGAAATAACTTCCTATTCCTGTTGATGAAGAGGACTGTAACAATCCCAATTTGAGTCATATTTCACAGCAGACAGAAGTAGTCCCTTCCATGCGCACCTAAAGCACCATTCGTGTTTCTAGTTTTGTGGTGTACATTATCACAGGGCCACAAACATGAGCTTCATATGAGCCAGGAGTGAGACTGCATAATACAAAAATGTACATCAACTTTGCTAAAATTTCCTTTCAGAAAGAATGCACATAATGGAAAGCACATGTAAAGGAGTGTGGCTGTAAAACACAAATGCATAATAGCAAATTATTTTGTTAAAATTTCCTTATGGGGGGGGACATGTCGTGAAATGAATTGGATGGATGAATAACAGTAACAAATTTGCTAAAATTTCCATGCAGAAGGAAAACATGTCAGAGAAGAGAAAAACTAAGTAATAAGAAGGTATGCAAATACCCATACTAATCTCAATATAATCACTGCTCATGTTGACCTGCCACTTGTGGAATTTGTATTGAGGCAGGAACAGAATTCTTGGCACCGGTGCTGACATCTCAACATGGTGACCTCTGCACTATATAATGCACCACGTTGTATATTTCATATTAAACGTTAGGACACATGAACAATGCAGAAAACATATAAAACCAAATCAAATCATATGACACCGAGCAAATTAAATAAAAAAAGAAACCAAACTGATCAAACTAAAATAAAGATCAAACCATTACATCCTAATCCTTCCAGCCGCACTATGGCCCTGGGGTTGATTCAGCCTCTTATAGAAATGAGTACCAGGAATTAATTAAATAAATTTCCTGGGGAGTAAAGCACAGCTGGCACATGAGGCTGACAACCTTACCACCATCTTTGGGCCGATTATCTGGATAATGTGGGACCCTCAATGTCTCACAACCCTATGGACCTTCATGGCCTGGTACAGGCATAGCTTTGTTTACTTTTTTACATGTCTCTAATATAGACACTGAAATTCTAGCAAAGCTCACACTTGAAAAGTCAAACCAAGTGAAATAAAGTCATTCCAGCCAAAAGTCAAATGAAACCAAACTGAACTAAACTAACCTAATGTTTGGGATTACCAAGTTTCTATGCTTTATTCACAGAGTACTATGTCTAATGAATATAATGTTCCAGAAACTGGATGGTTCCAACATCAGGTGAAGAGGCATATATATACCTACTCAGATGGATCCATCAGCAGGAGCTAATCCCAATCACTCGACAACCTGGGTGACTGAGATTAGCTCTTTTTGACACACAGTTGAGTAAGAGCCTCCCCTCCTTTCCATCCAAGGGCATAAACTGATCCCATTTCTGAAATGTCGCATTCTCTGGAAACACTGGATGACAGGCAAGTCCAGACACTCAGTAATCCAAAATGTAATATATCGCCCCTGAACTCCTCACAATGAACTTAACACAGTGCTCATCACCAACAAGCACATATTTACTAGCACAAACCTCCACTTTACAAGTCAAACAAAATCATAACAAAAATGAAATGGGGCTAAACTTAAACAACAAAAAATTGGATCCATTCACCCAAAAATGATACCAACCAAAAATCAAATCAGACCAACAATACAGAGTATTGTTTTCCTTCATTTAATGTTTAATTTCAATGAACAAAATTGAAAATCCTCCGACTAAAATTGTCCATGCTTTACTGTTCCCCAAATAAAATTTAAATAAAAACTTAACTCTACTAAACTAACCTCCATCTTCAGTAAAAGAATCAGCCAAGCACAAAACAGTTACCAAGCTTTGCTTGGCTTATTCTTCAGTCCTGAGAAGGACCAACATAGTTCTCCGAAACATCAGCTGACTTTCAGTGGACCACATGCCGTTATATCCAAGATGATGAACTCTTCATTCCCCCAAATTATTATAATTAGGAAAAACAATTACCAATTGAAAATATTTTCATCAAGTACTGATGTTGGGCAACCAGCAAAAAACTAAGAACATGACACTCCTAGTTGGTCCTAACCTTCCACTGGAATGATACAGTATATAATCATTATGACAAGAAAGAGCTGCTAAAGCAGAGGAAGGATTTGATTATAATTTACACAAGCATTAACTTTGCATTAAAATTACTTTTCACAAATTACTTCTCATTCTGTATCTTCAATACAGAGTTTCCCTACTACATGCCCAATGATTGGGATATTCCTCATTGCAGTACCAATTAAGCTGTAAATTTTGATTTTAGACTCTTTAAAGAAGACATTCTGTACTGTTCTGTTCAAATGTTACTTTGAGGAAACAATATATACACCAAATTCTGATGAAAGACCATGATAATAAATCTGACAATTTCACAATTTTATGCAACGAGAATAAGATATGATACTGCTACTTACTTGGCAACATACAAGAAAAATGAACAAAGTAATTGCAGTCCATAACACTTTCTCTCGAAACTGGATCTGTAAAATAAACACAGAGCATTTTTGAAATCCAATATGGTACACAATTCATATTACTTCTGTACGAATTAAGATTAATCCTCTAAATTAACATACATGTTCTTAGCGTAACTAGGTGCATCATTTTATTAAGTATGAGAAAAACAATACCTTTCTTTCAGGTTTTGCTATTTCTGGCAATATGCTGCAGAATGGTTTTATGACTTCCAGGAATTTTACTGAAAATGAAAATACATATTTCAGTTGTCTGTCATTTTTTCACTCCTGCATATTTTATTCACATATTGCTCTTCACAACTATGGAATTAAAATCGCGACATATATACACAGTTCCGTTATTGGTTAAGGTATGTGCAATTTTAAGCCGATTCATTGCGATTTAAATAATATTACGCTAGTCTTCAAAACAAACGTTTCTGAAACATACGACTCAAACATCCCTTTACGTGTTAATGCATATACTAAACATTCAATGCAATGTACAGTTACTCTACATACTTCCACTTCTAAAGTTGCTCATGGCACACGACGTTCAATATACTCGTCACATTGCTAATATAAAATACAATTACTTTTACAGTATTACTTACTTCCCATTGTAGAACTTGAAGGATACTCAGCGTTCTAGACACCTTAAACTCTTACAGCAACCGACCAAATTTTCTTCTGGTTGAACCGATAAAACCTCAATCCTTAACACGTCTACAAGAACCAAGAACATATCACGTGACCGGTGATGTTGGCCCACGTTTATCGAGCTTTCACTAGAGAGCACTTTCTATACGTCCGTATCCGCTTCGTACCAAGGATAACTTAACGGAATATGCGGGACCGTGCTGTACGGGCTGAGCAGACACTCTTTGCCGGCAGTTGCATAGGAACACCCAGATAAACAGGCGTCCATAGCAACGTATATGCATGCAACAATAGATGTACTGAAAGCCTCAAATCTTAAATAGATCTACTGTTGGAAACGATGTTTTCTGTGCCGCGCGGTTTGTGGATATGATAAGTGTGTAAAGTGAACTCTGTACAAACAACCTGGTCCAACACACGTTTCGTCCGAATCACTAGGTTAAATCCTCGATATCTCCAATCAGCGTCTTCCAAATCTCGGTCATTAACTCTCATTGACTGATTATTTCTCGTCCGCTGGATTTCAAGCCGTAGTCACAGTACCACAGACGGTCAGTCAGTCTTTGTATCAAGCAGCATTTTGGGCCAAAAACTGCGGTTTGTCGACATGGGCCGCCCTCTTTCGTCATTCGTCGCTCTCATAGTCAGCACATCATGACATGTACTTGTCTGCATGCTCCCTTAGCATTTGAAAAGAATTCAGCCTTGTGGATACATATTATTTACATTTTCATAATTAATGTGTTTACAATATATACAAGGCCTCTGTCAGTCTAAGCTTGGCACAGCAGATCATGCCCCAATTCATACAGCTCATGTTACAGCGGCTGTCTATAGTCACTTGAACGGTCGTACGATTGACGGCTGCGAAGTTTACGCCTCTTACATTTTCTCTATCTTCTCTTTTTCCGATATCGCAAACATTTTCATTTTCGTGATTTCTATGACCTCTGCTCGTTGCCTGCATAATTTCGTTATGTATCCATAAATACACAGTACATGGACAACCATGTGCAACTTGTGGACCGCTGTCTGCCTTGAAAAGTTATCAGTGATTCGGAGAACCTTGTTTTGCAGACAAATATTGTGTTTCTGAACATTATCCATCGTCCTGTTTATATCGTGACATGTACACCAGTTGCTAAGGAGACTCCGTAAACAAGCCCGTAATATTCAGCCAGCAGTTAAGTATATCCATTTCTAGGCAACACCAGCAATACACGCACGCAACACTAGAACCGCTGCGGCGCAAGGTGTTTTCTACATGGGCTCACATATATCCATTGCTAGGCAACGGATGTTTTCTGTGCTGTGGTCCGACCCGAGACTGTATAACGAGAAGCCAACAATAGCTGAATGGGCGATTGTAGAGGGAACAGACTAAAACCCGGGAAAGCTTGATATACAGTCGGCACACTTATAAGTTTCTTATATGTTCTTTGTATCTTGTTAGATTTCTACCAGTTTGGCCGATGTATACTTTTTGGCAACTTTGACATGTTATTTCCTATATCCCACTTTGTTCGTAGGGGTCTATTTCTCGTTTTTCGTTTATTAGTTTACCTATTGTGTTGGCTGTTTTGAGAGCTATCTTTATGTTAGTGTTTTTGAATAGTTTTGTGATTTTTCGTATGTAATTTCCTGTATAAGTAGAAGTGACCCATTTTGTTTTGTTTTTTCGTCTTTATTATCCGGGTTACCCACCTTTTGCTTAAGTCTGTTACATAGATGTGTGATGTCTTCCTTTCTACAGCCATTATTTAGTGTTATATTAATAATAGTATTTAATTCTTTGTTTTTAGCATTTTCCACAAGGGGTAGTGTAAGAAGTCTGTGTATCCAATTTTTATATGCTGGCAATTTTTGTTCTTTAGGGTGGCATGATT